GACTTCGTGTGTGTGTGTGTGTGTGTGTGTGTGTGTGTGTGCGCGCGTGTGTGACTAAAACAGTTGAAATCCTTACCACCTAAATGTTAAGAAAATACACCCTACATTTAATAGGCGTCAAAAGTGTCAAATCATGTAAGATGTTAAGGAGCTTAACGTGCTTCGAAATAATGAGACAAAACAGGCGCTTAGAAATGTGTTTAAGTGCTAAACACTGTTTTTACAGTGTAACTTTTGTCACGAATTCACGTTCTCTCAAGAATGCAAGAATTGACGGACATAATATTCAATCATGAACTTAAAATGATTATCCGATTAAAGTAAAACCCTGCGATTTATCAATATCTGACGGTTCGTGGAATTCGTAACCGGTGTTGAAAAGGGGTATGAAGCGTGTTCCTTTTACGGTCTCTGGAAGAATATGCTATGCTATGTCGCTATCGTTCCCATTGTCTTTCGTTTGAGTATTAGTTATTTGCATTCCAAATGTTTAATATAAGCCAATAACTTTTAGGACTTGCCGACTGAATGGCGTGCTAAAATGGAACGCTTTTTCGCCATATTGGATGCTGACAATGACGGAATTGTGAACCGCCACGAGTATGTTGACGTTCCAGTTGAAAGAGCCAAAGTACATCTTCGGGCAGACAAAATCAATGATTACAACAAAACTCTCTCCGGAGCCTGGTCAACCTTTTGGTCAGTTCCAGAGGACCAATATGAAAATGAATTCGACCTGAATGCTTTCATCGCAATACACATGCGCATCGATCTTTTAAAACCTGCTTTCGCGGCAAAATCGTTAAAAACTGTGTCCAGAAAGCTATTTGATATAGCAGATTATGACGGCAATAGAAAGCTTAGTATTGATGAATACAGAGACTACCTTGCTGTATACAACGTTCACCAGGGCATCAATTTATCGTTTGGTTTTGCTGATGAAAACCATAATAACCACATTGAAAGGGAGGAGTTCGCCAAAGCAGGCGTTGATTATTTCCTCAACAAAAATAAGAAATCTCCATTGTTCGGCCCGTAAAATGTAGAGAAACCAATAAAAAACGATATATGCCACTACTGCATGCATGACTTTCGGGTTGAAGGCTCTAATTTTTTTCTATGACTTAGGTATGGTTACTATGCATTCTCATATATACCTAGCATTAAAATTTAAGTACCAGTCTCTGTAAGAATCAGAAAAATAACATAGGGGCATTGGAACATGACCCTCCCAGATTTTGTTTTCTTTTAATTTATTGTGAAGAACTATGCTAAAAACTAATAAATTGAGCCCGAAAAGTTGCATATTTAAAATAATTTATTTTTTAGAGCGTTTTATATTTAAGCCTGAAATTTTTCTCCCATATGCTTTTCTATATAAAATGTTCAGGTAACCCCATATTCACTGACAAATAACTCGTATGGCCGACGTAGTTATGTAAGATGGCTATACAAGATGTTTACAGCATATATTCAGGTACCAAAAAATGAAATAAAATTTTTTTCAAAACACAAAATGGTTAAATTACATTAAAAACAATCAACGTTANTTCTTCTTTCTCTCTAGCAAATTCTACGTAAGTCTGAGTTTCTATTTTCTTCTGTTTCCTAAATTTTTGTCTGTAAATTTCTGGCACCAATTCATATGCCTTTAAAATAGCCGATTTCACCTTTTCATAATCTGAGCTTTCTGCTAAACTGAGAGCTGAATACACCTCAGCAGCTTTCCCTACCAAAACACTTTGTAAAAGTGTGGGCCATACTTCAAACGGCCATTGGAAATGTTCTGCTATTTTTTCAAATTGTGGGAAAAATTTATCAACTGATTTTTCTTGGACTTTAGGAACTAACCTAATGTTCTTTGCCGCATCAAATTCATACCTGACATGTGAAGTTGATCTTTCACTGTGCTCTAATCTTAGTTTTTCCAACTGAAACTGCCTATCTTTATCTCTTTCTTTTCTTTCTCTTTCTAACCTTTCTTTTTCTAACTGAAACTGTCTTTCTATTCTTAACTTCTCCAGTTCAAATTCATACTCTGAAATGTTGGTTTCTGCCTTAACTATTGGCGGTAAAGCATCAGACTTAAATATTTGTTAATCTACAAGTTTCTTCACTACTATTCCTCTAATCTCTTGTTTTTTCATGGATGATTTCACAACTAAATTGAAATGTAAAGCTATGGCAACTAACTCATCTTTTTTTAAAGCTTCAAAGTCTGTCACCGTAGGAGATTGGAGAAATTCGGTGACAGAGAATACCATGGTGGAATTGATTTCTGCTGGCTACTGTAGTAAATTTGCACACAAAAATTGCTACCGATAAGAAAATCTAAAATATCCCGGACAAGCCCCCAATTCTGTTACGGGTCAGAGTACCCAATGCCAGCAAAAATCAATGACAAAAGATTTAAAGAAGTTTTAATATTTTATTAAAACTAAATAAACTAATGACAATAACAATAAGCTATTCTTAATACACAAATAAACCTATCTGAAAGCATGAAGTGTCCTGTGTGAAAGTCCGATGTGAATCCGTCGACAGTGGAGAGTTTGTAGAGATAAATCGGCTCAAAGTTCAGTGAAAGTGTCCGATGAAATCCCACAGTAATTACGATGCAAGTTCCAGAAGAAAATATGAGTGTCGGTTCAGTGGTAAATAGGTTCCAAATAAAAAATATTCTCCTTCAGAAGTCCCAAAACAAAACTCAGTCTCCTATCCGTTCATATTCCAGCGTCTGTCTCAACTAACGCTCTCGAGATACTCATGCTCTCGCGATATGGTGACGTCATAAGCTGACCTACTTATACACCACACTTTGCATATTTGAACCATACCAGCAATTTTTATAAAAACAGCGGCACAGCAATGTAAAAAGGCAAGATTAATAATATGACAAATTATATAAACCTACGTCTTCAGTAGATCTATAAATAATAAGTTTGGCATGTCCCCTTTCCCCCTCTCCCCTTCTTGCTCTTTGTTGTCTTTTTAGGCATTTTTAAAACCTACAGGACTAAGTGGCCTTCCTTTCATATACAGCACAAAAATCAGCTAGAACTCGGCTCTTCTCATTCTGAATGGTTCCACAGTATGACAATAAAAAGGTGCAGTGAAGGAATATGTCAGATTATTCGTGAGTATATTCTGTTGAATTAAATAATTTGCACACACAGAATAAATAAATAAATATGTTTTCATCTACGAAGAACCGACAACATAGCTTTGGTCTTCCTTTCATGTAGGTCCCCCATATTCACAGCTGGACAACTTTGTTTCGATCCTTTCCGGGGACGTGCACGATTTCACAGAGGAATATTAACAACAGTTGACCCGCAGATCAAATATGGTGACCCACTTGTCGCTTAATTCAAGATAAAACACTGAATATATTTTCTGTGGGGATCACGCAACAAGCATTCAAGTGGGCCGCTACATTTGAGCCGCGGCCACATTTGATCCCTATTCTGAACGAGCCATTAACAGAACCCTCTGTCTTTACTCTTGGTCCTAGGTATTTACGAGTTGAATCAAGTGTGAAGTGCTGTTCTGACAATGAAAGTCGTTGTTATTACATTGTATAAGCTAGTTTTCAGCGCCTCAGACGGCAACTGAGATGTATCCTCCCCAGGGAAGCGATAACGTCTACATTCTATCTATACCAGGGCCGATATTTTGCAGGTACGTTGCCAACGATGTCACGGAAGCCAAAAATGATAGGCAAGTCAATGGCAAGTATAGCATACAAGAACAAAAGTTATTTATTTTGTCTTAAAATTGACCATGAGGTAGAGAAANTTTACGAGTTGAATCAAGTGTGAAGTGCTGTTCTGACAATGAAAGTCGTTGTTATTACATTGTATAAGCTAGTTTTCAGCGCCTCAGACGGCAACTGAGATGTATCCTCCCCAGGGAAGCGATAACGTCTACATTCTATCTATACCAGGGCCGATATTTTGCAGGTACGTTGCCAACGATGTCACGGAAGCCAAAAATGATAGGCAAGTCAATGGCAAGTATAGCATACAAGAACAAAAGTTATTTATTTTGTCTTAAAATTGACCATGAGGTAGAGAAAAAAATTGAATCTAACACTACTGTAGATGTTACTTGAAACGAGTAACACTACGTTTCGACTATCTCGCAAGGTCTTCCTTAAGTGAAATGAGCTTTCGCCGGTCATTCAATTTTGCCTCAACTTTAGTTAAAACACTCCTTGAAGAATAATAGCATTTACTTTGGTCATGAGTTATTATACTGCATACGGCTCAATTTGACGGTATCCTTTCTTAAACTGCTCCCTTCAAAACCACATTCAACCCGAACGAAAAAGTCCCATAGGATCATATAAGATCCTATAACATTCTATAGGAAATAGGGCCAATTTTCTTTAGGATCATGTAGGATCTTATAGGATCCTTTGGGATTTTTACGTAAGGGAAACTTGATTGGATGAAATAATACTCAACGTCCTTCATAAATTGTACCTGCTTCCTCCCCACTTTACTTATAGGAGGTTGAATCAAGGGTAAAGTGGTTTGTCTGGCATTGGAAGATTTTTTTCCTATGCTAACTTGTAGCGCCTCGTCCGGCAGTTGGCAGTATCCTCCCCAACGTCTGTATCAAGTCTGTATACTACATATATATCAAAGGCAGTTTTTTGCAGGTATATTACCATGTCACGGAAGTCGCTTTGAGAGACATGTGGATCTAGCGCAAGTGCAAGAACATTTTTTTCCTTAAAAAGCAATATGAACTTGACTATGGTGTACTGAATTGGACACAATGCTATTTTGCATTTTAAACCCTCGCATTCAAACTTGATTGGATAAAATGTACCTTTGACCCCTCCGTGAGTTACTGTCTATTTAATTCATTCGCTTACTAGAGACGGCACAGATCGCATAGAACGTTGGTTTAAAAACGATTAATTCGTTCAGCCCATGAGTAAAATGTTTCTTCCACGTGTGTTTTGCTTGCTGTTGCTGGTTGTTAATGTAATGGGAACCCACTCTTTTGGAGCTGAAAATGGTCAGAAGGTAAGGCGTTTTGTTTGTTTTGTGCACAACTCACAGATAAAGATGAAGCCCAGTCTTGAGCTGACACAATACGGCTTCTATCTAACTGACTGTGTTGTTGTAATGCATTCAAAATATGTCGAGACTCATGAAAAAATTCTACATATTTTGGAGAATGAGGTCAGTGAGGTTTATTATGTTGTTTCTACTCATGAATGTCTCACAGCGACTGCAAAATAACACATTCCAATTTTAAAAGCATTTTTAGAATTAGGAGACGCACCTGGGTGACCTATGAAATATAAGAGTCGCTACAGTCCAGCATTAAATACTCACATCAATTTTCTTATGATGTACTAATCCATTGAATTACTAGCTTATCAAGTGAGTTACGTTACTATTTGTTTTGGAAACGAACTTGCCATTCCTATGTTGGGGTCGTTAACGTTTAGATCATCGTTTTCGTGATAAATTGGGCATTAATGTTTAAAATAATACATGTGTTTAATATTTAAACAACCGAAGAAGAAATAAAAATGATCTTGATAAAACCAACATTTTGCAAGCCCTATACGGACAATACTTTTACATGTATGGGCTCTTAATAACATTCACTGTTTGGAGACACTTATAATTTTCAAGTTAAGTTGCCCATTTGTATTTGTATTATCTATTTGCCATGGAATTTAGACAGAATTAAGATTGTAAGCTTTAATTTTACATGGGTTATTATGCCTTGGAGCTGCGTTCATTTTGTAAAACAACCACTGAAATATCTGTCCAAAATGGGTATTGCGTAAAGTTGTGTGAAGTGTCAAGTTACGGTTTTACTTTGCGCGTGACATACTTTTATCAAATCTACAGATACTGTGCTTAAATATAACTTCTTGATGTTTGCCATATGTCACATTTGTACAGAGACCGCCACTGAACTCCACTGGAAAAAAGTGTCTTTCTTTCCACAAGGGTTCAGTGAGCTAATATGCCCTATACTATAATATGCAAGCCCGTTTCCTCGACTATAACTTCCAAGTAATTGATATCAAATCAAATAATATTTTGGAGTCAGTTATATCTGTTATATTTTGTTTTCTTTATCTTGAAAAGTGTCCTTTTCACGTATTTCACACATGCTCAATTGATATATATATACCCTTGAAGCTCCTTGTTAAAGAATCGTGGCATATAAGGTCTGCTAAGGTTTTGGATTCGAGCTGTTGGCCATCTATGTGTCATTAGCTTGGATGCATCCTTTGTCCGATGCCTAGTATCAACGGTTAGTATATAACATTTATAAGAGGTCGTCTTTGAAGACTCAGGGATATATATATATATATATATATATATATATATATATATATATATATATATATATATATATATATATATATATATATTTGCTCTATGTACTTATGCAAATACGTTTTCGTTGCCATGGAATCATTCACTATATCTGTCAACAGAGAGAAAAAAATCATATTAACATAGAATTATGTATTACCAGATAAAACATTTTGTCACATTTATAAACTTCAGGATGAACCGGATATAGGGGACGAGTGGCGCGCTAAGATAGTCCGTTTCTTTTCTAAGTTGGATGCTGACAAGGACGGAATTGTGGACCGCCGCGACTACGTTGACAAGACTGTAGAAAGAGCTAGACGATATTTTGGGGCAGATAAGATCAATGACTTCAATGATACCATCTCCGAAGCTTGGCTGTCATTTTGGTCTGTTTCCGAAGATGAATATAGAGGTAGTCTTGACGAAAAAGATGCTATTTGGATTCACAAACGTTTATTCAAAGTTAACAAACTAGACGAATCAAACAGGGATTGGGCAGAGGGCCTATTCCGAGCAGCAGATGGAGACGACAACGAAGAACTCAGCGTCTACGAGCACAAAGCATTTTGCCGAGTGTTTAACGTTCAAGAAGGGTTTGACAAGTCTTTTAAATGTATCGATGGGAACCAAAACGGTAGCATCGATAAAGAAGAGTTCCTGCAAGCAGCTCATGATTATTTTTACAACCGAAAGGAGGATTCCTGGTTTTTCGGAGTCTGATATTGATAAGAAATTCGACTTTCACAGAAATGTGGTATATAATTGAATAATAAATGGATATTGGTGTATGGTTCTTAAATAGTTGGAAGATAACAGATTAATTTTCTATTTTGTTTTTCTTAAATGTTGCAGTCCAACGTTCATAGGTCGTACCTATGAACTCAAACTGTAATAGTTCATATTTCGAGAGATTAGTTTTTATCACTTGTTTCTAAAACAATTATTAACATATTTATTTTCAATAGAGGTCGGATGGGGGAAATATCTTAATTTTGTTTTTGTTTTTATTTTCATTTATTTATTTATTTTGTCAGTATTGGATTTTGTCAGTGTTGAAATTGTGTACAGACGTCATGATTCTTATTCTAATAAAAGGTCACTGAAAAGTGTTCAAATATGTATTTTAACAAGAATAAACCAGCATCAAGATGTTGCAATACCCGCTTGTCAGTTGTATAACATGGTGCTGGCCGGTGCTATCAATGTTAGTACATTGTTATAAGTTTATATGAAGCCCACCTGCATGTGTTGCCTACCTGTAGTCTGTTCACTGTCGTCTCTGTAACTAAGACTATCAATTTCAATATGGCGGAGAAGAAGACACAGTAAAGGCATAACAAATGTTTAATAACTATCAAAAATAACACGATCGGATTTGGATGAAAGTTTATTTAATAAATTCGAAAGTTTTTTAAGCTGAAATGCAAATAAACTAAAAAATATCAACGTCACGTGATGTTCTTATTGAACATCAAGCGGCCTGCTTTCAACAAAGATATTAGTTCTGAGTTAATTTTTTTAACATGTAAAAACAAGAATAAACCAGCATCAAGATGTTGTAATACCCGCTTGCCAGTTGTATAACATGGTGCTGACTGGTACTATCAATGTTAGTACATTGTTATCAGTCTATGGGAAGCCCGCCTGCACGTGTCACCTGGCCTGTTCACTGCCGACTATGACTAAATGAATCTCAATATGGCGGGGAAGAAGGTACAGTAAAGGCATAAGAAATGGCTAATGACTATCAAAAAATATATTTGAATGAAATTTTATTTAATAAATTAGCAAGCTTTTGAGTGGGAGTGACATTTATTTGAGTATCAAATGAAATGCAAATAAACTGAAAACATCAACGTCACGTGATGTTCTTAATAGTTAATTGATTTCACCATCAAACAATAATTTATGTGACGTTGATAACAGCTTAAATCTAAACTGAGAAAACTGTCAAATTGGACAACATACTAAATATAATTTAATTCATTTATTTTAGATCCATGAGGTGTGGATACGTGCTTAAAGTATTGCTTAAATGACTATTCTATTGCTAATTGACAAAATCATGTTATCAAAGCAGATTTATACAATTACACAAGTGGCAGAGAAAGACTGTACCCATGATTGGTACTGATCGAGGGAAACGAGCACGAGAGCCCTTGTATTAGTAAGAAAAATTAGTGTCGTCGTAAAAATATGCACTTGTAATGTTGGTATATTATTAAAGTTTGAAGAATTAAAAAATTAACATAAGCGGATTTGAATGGATTTTTTATTTAATATATTCAAAAGCATTTAAGTGGAAGCAACATTTAGTTAAGTACCCGCTGAAATGCAAATACACTGAAAACACCAACGTCACGTGATGTTCTTATTGGTTAATTGATTTCGCCATCAAACAATGGTTTCTATGACGTTAATTACAGCTAGAATCTGAAAATGTCCAAATATGACAACATACTAAACTATTTTATTTTATTTTAGATTAAGGAGGTCTGGATACGTGCTTTATTATTGCGTGGATGATTATTGGATAATTGACCAAAATCATGTTATCAAAGGATATTTATAAAATTACACAAGTGGTGCGAGAAAGAAGGTACCCACGACTGGTACGGGTCGAGGGAAAGTAGAACATCTGTACTGGGAAGAAAGTAACATCGTCGTAAACATATGTATTTGTAAAGTAGGTATTTTATTTAAGTTTTTAGACAAAAAGCAATCACACAAACAAAATGGCGCTTTTTCATCTATAATGAAATGAACCATATACCATCATCATTACGTATTTAATCGTGCGCTGTTTCCTTAAACTACCCCCATCTATCACGTTCATAAAGCTGATTGGATGCATTTTACCTTTGCACCATCCACGAGTATCAGTCTTTTTAAATCATTCACTTATTCCAGGCGGCACAGAACGCATAGAACGTTTATCAAAAGGCGACAGTTTTGCTCAGAATATGACTAAAATGTTTTTTCCACGTGTGTTTTGCTTGATGTTGACTGTTACTAATATACTAAGAAGCCACTCTTCTGGAGCTCAGAATCGTCTGAAGGTAAGGCTCACGTTCCGTTTGTTTTATGCCTTGCGCACAAATACTGAACCTGAGTATTGAGTTGACGCAATAAAGCATCCACCCAACTGACTGGTGCATTCAAAACATGTCGAGACCAAATAATGATAACCACCTACATGGTGGATGAGATGAGGTCGATACGGTTTATTGTTGCTCTTTTTTTTGAATTGACAGGCACCACAGTAAGTGCATAATGAAGCATTCTAGTTAGTGTATAGTATAGTGTATAGTATTAAATATACGCATCAAGGTATTTAATATAATGTGAGTCACGTTTTAAATGTCTGTTTTGCATCTTGGTTAAGGAGGCGTTTAAGTTTGGGCCATTGTTGTCGTGATACATTTATTTATAATTGAATCAATATTTAATATTTTTAAACAACATTTTGAACAGCTCAACACTTTTGTCCCTATTTCACGTTCTCTCAAGAATTGCAAGAATTGACAGACAATAAATAAGAATCAGTGAGAAACTTACAAATATAAGCCCGATTTAAGTAAAAACCCTGCGATTTATCAATATCTGGCGGTTCGTGGAATTCGTAACCGGTGTTGAAAAAGGGTATGAAACGTGTACCTTTAACGGACTCTAACAGAATAAGCTATGATTTATTGCTATTGTTCGAGTTGTTTGACATTTGAAAATTCTTTTTTTTTTTGCATATCAAATTGTTAATGGTAGCCAATAACTTTCAGGGCCTGCCGGTTGAATGGCGTGATAAAATGGAACGTTTTTTCGCCATATTGGATGCTGACAATGACGGAATTGTGAACCGCCACGAGTATGTTGATATTCCCATTGAAAGAGCCAAAGTATATTTTCGGGCAGACAAAATCAATGATTTTAACGATACTGTTTCCAGACTCTGGTCTACATTTTGGTCTGTTCCAGAGGATGAATACGAAAGTGTTTTCGACCTGGATGACTTCATTTCGATTCACGTGCGCATCGATCTTTTAAATCCCGCTTTCGCGGCAAATTCGTTAAAAAATGTGGCCGGAAAAACATTTGATATAGTAGATTATGATGACAATGGAAAGCTTAGTATTGATGAACACAGAGACTACCTTGCAGTATACAACGTTCATCAGGGCATCAATTCATCGTTTGGCTTTACTGATGAAAACCATAATAACCTCATTGAAAAGGAGGAGTTTGCCAAAGCAGTCGTTGATTATTTCCTCAACAAAAGTAAGGAATCTCCATTTTTCGGTCCGTAAAATGTCGGGAAACCCATAAATGACAATATATGCCACTACTGCATGCATGACTTTTGAGTTAAAGGCTCTATTTTTTTTCTATGCCTTAGGCATAGTTACTGTGCATTCTCTCCACCTACGTTAAAATTTAAGATTGAATGGGACAACCTTTTTGACCAAGAATGTCTTATGCATGGAATTTTAAACAGACATCATGATTCTTATTCCATTATTGGTCCATGAAAAGTGTTCAAATGTGTATTTTAACTAGAATAAAACAGCATCAAGATGTTGCAATACCCGCTTGTCAGTTCTATAACATGATGCTGTCTGGTACTATCAATGTTAGTACATTGTTATCAGTCTATGGGAAGCCCGCCTGCACGTGTTACGTGGCGGCTAAGAAAAACACAGTAAATTTATATCAAATGTTTAATGGCTATCAAAAATAACATAAGCGGATTTGAATGAATTGTTTTATTCAATAAATACTAAAATTTTTAAGTGGAAGCCACATTTAGTTAAATACCTGAAATGCAAATAAACTGAAAACATTAACGTCACGTGATGTTCTTATTGGATAATTGATTTCGCCATCAAACAGTAATTTCAATGACGTTGATTACAGCTAGACTCTGAACTTGTCCAAATATGACAACATACTAAAATATTTTGATTTATTTTTAATTTAGCATGTGTGGATACGTGCTTAAATTATTACATAAATGATTTTGTATAGTTAATTGACCCAAAGCATAGAGTGAAACGAGCATGTGAACCCCTGTATTAGTAAGAAAAACAAGCGTCGTCGTTAATATATGTACTTGTAGAATTGGTATATTGTTTAAGTTTGAAAAAAAAAAAATAAATAAATAAATGCACAACCGAAAGGGTTCATTTCATCTATGAAGGAATCAATCAATTACATTAATCATTATGTATTTCAGCTGGCGCTGTTTCCTTACACTCCCTCTTCCATCACGTTGACAAATCTGATTGGATGCATTTTACCTTTGCACCTTCCACGAGTAACAGTCTTTTTAAATCATTCTCTTATTCGAGGCGGCACAGAACGCATAGAACCCTGATCTAAAAGCGACGATCTTGCTCAGCATATGACTAAAATGTCTTTCCCACGTGTGTTTTGGTTGCTAATGGTGGTTGGTTATGTACTTGGGAGACTCTGTTCTGGAGTTCAGAATCGTCTGAAGGTAAGGCTCACGTTCCGTTTGTTTTATGCCTTGCTCCCACATATAGCTGAACCTAAGTACTGAGTTAACACAATAAAGCACCCGCTCAGTTAGTGTATAGTATAGTGTATAGTATTGAATATACACATGAAGGTATTTAATATAATGTGAGTCACGTTTAAAATATCTGTTTTGCATCTTGGTTGAGAGGGAGTTTAAGTTTAGGTCATTGCTGTCGTGATATAATTAT